ACCCCCCCCTCCCCATATTGTTGTGCCTCTGTACATGGGCCCTTTTAGTTGGTCGCACACCCACCAATATGTACCAAGTTGCGGCACTGCGTGGCTCCCTGAGAATATCTGTATTAATTAAATTTAAATTATTAATCTTAATTAAATAATTTGTCTATATTCGTATTTTACAGAAAATAAAAATAAAAAGCAAATAATTTACAATTGACATSATTTTTTTTATGAATTTTTGTTGTCTCATATAGACATTTCTGATTTTTGGGGCTCCGTATTTTTTTTTTTAGAAATATAAAGGATCCGCCAACAAAAAAGTTTGAGAACCGCTAACATAATATCATTGTATTTGAAAAACGTTTCTGAGCTGAGACTGTTTGTCAACCTAGGATATTTTATACTAAACTCATTATAATGTTATTATTTAAAAATAAAAACGTACGAAGGTATCTATAAAATGGATTTAAAATTAATCAAATCAGATTCATTATGTACTCGACTTACTGGATCGTTATAAATACTACGACACCATAATATTGTCATCATTATGTATTTTGACCCCGGGATAACATGCAGAATAATTTTCATGGTATAAACGCACAAATCGGGGCCGAACTTAAATGCAGGTGTACCAATGTAAATAATTACTGATTGGTACAATCAATGATAATTTAGTTCATATAAAAATAACATATGACGATCTGGTACCTACATTTTATAATTTATAATGGTTAGGCTAAGAGAGGTCTAGACGGCAATATTTAGAGGCAGAGTAAGCCCTCTCTGGCACTCTGGCTATAATTTGCCTGATTATAGTTAAATATTCAACTAGGTATTGCAGGTAACTAGATTTTTAAATATATTATATACTTCTTACCATACCTTATTATTTAAATTGTTTAGTTAGAGTTACCTTATTATTTTAATTATTATTATAATAATATGAAAAATATCAATAATAAAAATAAAGCCCATTATAAGGCTCCTTTAAATATATTATTAGGTAATATATAATTCATAATATTTGTAATAAGGCTTACCTACACCATAAATTAATCTATCAGGATAAGTAGTTGGTGTATATATAAGTATTTACAATGGTTATAATTTATGCATTGAAAACTAATTACATATTATTAATATGCAATCCACCTTTTTGTAGGATAATTCTTGCTATCAACACTGCTATAATCCAAATTATATTATGTGAATTATTTCGAAAAATCATAGAAAAAAGTGTATTATAATAATAAGAATGTTTAATTAGTGTATTTATCTTTGTAAAATTGCCCTCATGGGCGTTAATTAAAAGGTAATAAATAAATTATCTAGGTATCCCTAACTAATTCATAATATACCTGTTCTATAGGTATATATTATAATATACAATTTATAATAATATATTTCACGAGGGGTGTGGTATATATATTATATCTAAATTCTGCGTTTGTCATTATAAAAGAAAAATATTCAACAATAATAATATAGAAAATGGTTAATTTTGTACCATCCTTCTGTGCAATGACACTGTAGCAAAGGGGGCTAGTCCACTCCTGCGTATAGATATTGCAATATTGCAACTTTAAAAAAATTAATCATTAAGATAAATGATCAATTGTATTTTGTCATAATGATATTTAAGTGACAATAATATGAAGATGAATAAGTTGACATAGATTATAGTAAGTACTTTATATTTAATATTTTAAATTTTTAACAATGTATTATATTATCAATATTATTTAATGATTCTTATTTTTTTCCCACCTAAAGGCCAGTAGAAACTTCAACGATAGCGGTAAATTCTATTGTTCAGCTACCTTGCCACCCTACCATAATATTTTTGATATTATTATGTGAATTGTAAAAGTGTATATCACAGTTCACAGACTAGACTACTCTAGAGACTTCTATAATACATTGTATTGAAATTTTGTTTTTAAGTCTGTGGCGTGGAGTGTGGACTGTGGAGCCACCATAGACTTAAGTATGGGTTATGGGTATCGCATGTTCGCGCCTAGAAATTAGCGATACGATATCGTTACCGTGGCGCCGCGACGACGACCGTCCTTTCCTTATCATATTCTCTCGGTTTCACCGATACCTCTCAT